AAAGTTTCAAGTTTACAAGATTTCAAGTTTACAGTATAGTGAAGATCTAAACTTCTGAGTTAACTTTACTGAGCTAACTCTCATCTGGTTAGCAGGCATCAGCAGTTAAAATAAACAAAGTAACAAAAATAAAAGTGGATCTTATTAATACAAACATATTAGAGCAGCAAATAAACATTCCTATTAAATTCCTGCCCGTGAGGACTGAGAGCAAATCCAAGGCTGCATGTCAGTGTGGAGTGTAAACAGTATGTCTAAGCTGGTCACAAACTCACTCCACAAAACGTCCAAGTGATGCTTCTTCCCTACAGCAGCGTAAGTCAACATGTCACGTTCAATGTTCCTTGTTAACTCAACCCCAAGATGTCAGCACAGCGCTGCAGGCTCACACACTGTCATTTTGCTTGCTCTGGAAGAAGTTTACACATTTTTTTCAATATCGCACAATCAAAGCATTTCAAAGGGCCATCCACTATGCAAAGGCTATCTAAGGCCAGTATTTCTCTTATATGTAGCTCAAGATGAATCTAGCATGCACTACTGTTCCAATTCTGCAAAGGAACATGGCGCACAGTTCCAGTAGGTACTACTTACACAGCCTTTCAACTCTCATGGTTTGAAACCAGAATAGACTATTAGAATTAATCTGTTCATATTCCCAGTTACTGATGTCTCATTAGAAAGGCACTGGATCAGCTTGCTGACTTCACCCTCATCTAGCTTGCTTTCTGTAACCACTGCTTTCTTTCCCCCACTTTCCTCTTTTCCTTAAGACCGAAAAAGGCAAAAAATTGCCTATCATTCCACTGAGTGACACCAAGCAGACCACAAGACACTGCGGGGCTCCATGCTCACAGCACAGTCAGCCAGGCCGCTTTTGTTATTCCACATTAATCCCTGGCCCAAAGAGAACAGCAAGGCATGGCCAACCAGCCCAAGGTCCAGGGCAACAAAGCTGCTCGCATCCCGTCACGACAGCCCGCACAGAGCGGGGTCGCAACAGCGCAGTCTGGCCTCATAAGCAAATCGCAGCCAAGACTTACGCTGCAGCTCAGCTGTCTCGCTGCTTCCTGACAGAGCGCAGCAGAAGCAGCGCCGGTGAAAGGTTTCCCCCAGTCCTCCAGAGCCACCATCACGTTTGCTCTCATCTTCCTCAAAGCCCCAAGGGCACAAACCCTCCCACAACAAAGCTGCTGCAGCCTCAGTCTGTGAAGGCTCCCCTCTGCTCCCAACAGTGGTCATATCCCCACAGCCATGATAAAGCAGTGATTCATTCCCCATGCCACAAGCATCGCCACATCTCCTTCCAAGTCCACTACCAGCTGCATCTAGGTTTGTGTAAGATGCCCCTTTTTTCCTTATCATTTCCTAACTACCTACACAGAGCACACAACAACAATTTCCTATGCCTCCGCCCCTCATAAAACACTCCTTTTCCTTACTGAAATGACTCTCCTGTGGAAAACCTCCAACAGCTGCCCTACATCAAGCAAGAATTGTTAACTGTCAAGTATTATTACTCACCGCTTAGTCTTCATACTTTCTTCACAGGCCCTTTTAGTGTTTTCAGCAACACTTTGGGAGTAACTCCACACTAAGGTATCAACATGATGCCACTAAGTGACTGTCCTGATACCTAGTGGAAAGTGCTAATCAAAGCTTTCCTGACAAGGCAACTTCTTGCAAGAAAATATGCAAGAACAACCTACTACTGGGGAACACTTTCAACTATTTATAACTTTACCAGTCTTTATCCTTTTCAGTCAATATCCTCTAAGGTAGGTGTTTAGCTCAGAGTATAATTTTAGTTTTAACAGCTCAGCCATTCAGAAACAGGAAAACACATTTTCCAAAATTAAAGAAATGCTTGCACCTCTTAGGTGAGCAGCTCTAGCAAATTCATCCTCTCAGCAGAAGATGGCTTTACTGTTTTACACACATACATACACAAAGAGGAAAAAAAGGAAAAAATGCCAAATTTCATAAGAATTACAAATCATTACACTTGCAAAATATCAGAATTGTTCCTTTGTGTCACTTGCACAGCATTTCACATTGACCAGCTTGTACAGACACAGCACAAATTTACCAGTAAATGAGCACACTCTATCTAGCCCAAGGGCAGAAAACCAAGTAGAATTTTCTATGCAGCGGTTGTCCCCTTCTGCTCCAAACAGATAGGGCCAGACACTGTAATAGATACTCAGTTTGCCATAAATAAAAAGGAGTCTGTTAAGAGCAGTATTTTAAATGAGTGGAACTGGGCTGGCTAGAGAAGAAACTAGACCTACATGGAAAAGGAAATTAAAGGAAAACCAGCAGTCTCAAGTTGAACAATACTTGGGAGAAGTGAATTCTACCCCAATTGCCATTCAATCTCCATTAATAGCCTTAGAACTAAATAACAAGCCATTCAAACCAAGTTTTTGTAAAACACTTCTTGCACAGGACAGGCCTCATTTCTGAGAGGTCTTTTGGAATCTGACTTGTAAAAGTGCTAGATGCTCTCAGCTAATATGAAGCCAATGCAAGTTGTGCTTTGAAGTTAAGATGACCTTTAAAAGCTTCAGTATCAGCCACTCAAATCCAGGGATATTACTTCTGCTGTAGGTTAAAAGTCTAATGATATATCACATAAATACACCTTAATCATCCAAACACGTAGGTGACCAAAAGACTCAATTGCTCATAGCACACTATCCAGTATTATGGATGGGAAAAATGAGACAACATCACAAAAAAATAGAAGTCTACCAAATACCATGGAATGTTAAATATTTATGCTAGCACTGCTCTTCATTGGTACAATTCACTGAATAAACAGGAACAGATAAGATGAAAATTTTACCAAATACCAGAAATCAAAAACAATAAGACAGGTGTTTCAGTTTTCCAAGATACATCATTCTGAATACAAAAGCAAGTAATATTAGGCTACTAAAGAGCAGCTGACAACAGGTAGCAAACTGGTCCCCAGTTTATTTAGCCCTAGATGTTAGTACTTCTTTGAGTCTTCAAACATCTCTTTAGCAACACAGAGTTATCCTGTTTTAAGAATTCTTATCTGCAACAAAAAGTTTACTCTAACAATTAAGTCTTTCTTCTGTGCTCTTTTAAAACATTTTTAAGAGGTGATGTCCAAAAATGCCCTTCTCTTTTTGTGGTTCTTTTCTGTTTGTTTAACAAAATGTTTTTCAGTTTATTTTCAATACTTAGTTAAGTTCTTCTACCATTCTGACAGACGTTGTTCCTTCCTTGTTTTCAACAGTTCTTGAAATCATGAAGAGAGGTTTGCATATTAAGAAAAGTACATCTCTTAACAGCACAGAGTTTGAATAAGCACTAGTTACTCAACTAATGTCTGGAACAAAGAAGCATTAAAATTGAAATACTTCCAACTCTCATACCTCACAAACCAGTTTGACAATTTCACTCTGTGCAAATACCACGACCCTGTGCAAAATAAATTACAGCAGCTCAGGTAACCTGCAGTTGATATACAACTGCAGTGTGTTCACTTAAACCATTGTAACTACCCTAGAATTTGTGAACAATAACAGGCCTTTTGCGGATGGTGCTGGTGGAAGCACAGGACTTTTAATTCTGCAGTTCTTTGGAGAATACCTGCAGAGTGACAGTTTGTTAACAGAGATTTACAACAGGATGTTAGGAAAAGTAAAACTAAGTATCAACGATAATAACAGAAAACAGAATAATAAGCAGAAAAGAGAGAAAGGAAAGGAAAACCATAGAAGTACCTTAAAAATAGCTTTTGTTTGTTATCTATCTAAACAAATGTTAATACAATTATCTGAATCACATAAAAACATTAGTTTCTGAACAGCCAAAATGCTCTTTGATTTCAATGGGAAAGTTTGGTGCATGAGGAATGCAGAACAAGCATCAGAGCTAAAACAGGAAGAAAGATGAAAAGAACAGCTGAGATCACAACATGCTGTTAGATTTTTCATATTAGGCACCATATGTTCCCCTGTTAAGTAGCTAGTTGGGGATTAATTTGGAAATTAAAGCAACACATAAAAAAGAGGAAGAGGATTACATGAAATTAAGAACTGGCATGTCTTTACACTTTTAATTGAACAGATAGCAAGTCAAAACCTGAAGCTAAATTGTGCTTTCCTCATTCCACACTGTTTTTTTTTTTTTTTTTTTTTTTTTTTTTTTGCCTTCACTTGCCAGTTATCACCCCGAATTTTAGACTAATTTGGAAGGAAAATAATCTTTCTCTCAGCATTGATAGCTACTATTCTGCACTTGTGAATTATGTTATGACAGAACTGAGGACAATAAGTATTATTTCAGGCAGTTATACAAAAAGTAAATATGGATCTTGGAATTTTATTTACACACTTTCACTAACCTCATTTTCTTTCAAGTTTAAAAAGAGTAACATGTAACGAATTTTAACGTGCTATTTCAAGAGCTGAAAGAACAAATGCTCTCCTTTACCTAGTACAATTCAATAGGAATCAAAAGCTATGGAAATGGAACTCTTCATTCCTTTAAAAACTAATAAATTAATTCTTTTCCCCTTTTCCCACTAAGTGCCAAGAAGTGATGTTGATGTCACTGCAACGCTGGTGGTGGAAGCGTAGGAACGGCACAGTAACAACCATAGAAGACCACAGGATGCAATCAGGCTGCTGCTGCAACTGTCTCATCTGTATTTTAACCTGCTTACATTTTTATAGTTGATTTAAGTAACTTTACATTTCAAATGCATCCACTAAAAGAATCATTGAAAAGCTTAAAGAAGAAGGCTCCATTTATCTCAAAAGCAGGGCTATCATTTATTTTATGGAACAGTACCACCAAGTACACATGACAACAATTAGCCCACCTTACTTAAAGTATTTTATTATCTTTTTTTCATGTTATAATCAATTGAGTTGCTTAAAATAAAAACATTATCTTATTCCACTGGAAACATTTTAAAAGGGCATTTATAAATAGATAATATTTACACAAGTTAGTCATACCTTTAGCCACAGCTTCTTTATACTTTTCTTTGGCAGTATTCACTTCTTTCATTACTTGCCTATAGCTAGATTTTAGTTTCTCCAGTTCTGTCGTCGTGACCTTTAAGAAGGCAAAAACATAAAGCATATTAAAAATACTTGTCTTCAACATTTAAAAATATCCCAGCATTAGTGAAAGAAAACTACCAGATTTGTTTTCCATAAGAAGCATGTTATCTTTTTTCACTGACTTGAAATTATCTTAAGAGGTTGTTACATGCTGTAACAAAAGCAAAATCAATAAATAAATGACATGGAACACAGATCCTCATTTGCTTTAGAGCAGTACAGTATAATGACAAATATGTTTAGAAAATTCAGCTTATCTTAAACACCACTGCATTTCAATAAGAAAGGACAAAGAGATATTAAATCAGTGCAGATGAAAAACTGCTGAACACTAGAAGGAAGTCTTTTAGAGTCTAAAGAAAAAGAATTTTTAGATTTAACACTTCAAACAATCTACAAATACGAATAATATAAAAATAGCATATGTGTATGGGCCAGTCTACCTGTCATAAAACTTTAATTCCTGAAAAGAAAGAAGAAAAATAAAAACAGCTGTGGAACACAGCACTGAAGGATCCAACGGAGGGAGCTCCACATGTCATTTTTCGTAAAGAAAAATTATCTCCCATCCTCACCACTTGAGGAAACTAGAGCACTGTGCAGAAATAAATGTTCACAGATCATTAAATTTCTAAGAAACTCCCATAACAACTTCGACCTCTACAGTGCCTAAGAATTGGAATACAGATTAAAAAAACTTAAAAGCTTGAGCAAAGGTATTGCACATTCGCAACAGAAAATCATAGAAGTAGGAGCTTAAATGGAAATGCTCAGCTCACTGAATCTGTAGAAAAGAGAAGAATCTACAGAAAAAAAAAAGTAAAAGAATGCTCTTTGGACAATCTTTTGGTATTACAAAGGAAATCCAACTTGACATGCAAGACTGTTGTTCACATTCCACCCCTTTTTAATGAGAAAAAACTTCTGAAATCTGAATGGGAACGGGAATAAACCTGAGAATACAGGTTTTACTATACATCTGTGTCAAAAGCATGGTAGCTTATTGTACTGGAGAGTTTTATCAGATGATTCATCAGCCACGAGTTCTCTAGAATAAAAAAAATGATCATATACATGCATTTTGCTGCAAAAAAAAAAAAAAATACAGTTTCTTACAGAGAATCCTTACAATTATGAACCACAAAGATACTCATCTTTTCAAGTTTTAAATAAGGCCCTGGAAAGTAATGTTTTGCTACTGCATATAACAAAAGCAGTCAAAATACAACATAACATGAAAAGAATTGTGTATTTCTGTGATCGTTCTGTGCTCCAGTGACACAAAGCCTCTGAACAGAGGCAGCTAGCAATGAGGGAATACAACAAAACTAATCAGAATGCTATTCAAGAGCTTCTTAGAAAAAACAGGAAAGGAAAAAAAATTACACTGATTTATTAGAGGCGGAACAAAATATTTTGCATGGCCATATGGCTGTGATTAATTAAAATCAATATGGCACGCAATGAGACATCTGGGGAATGTTTCATATGCATTATATTTTATTGGAATGGTCATGTAAAAAAATGACAATTTACTGGAAATAACTGATTAGCAGAGAAAGTGTTTCATACAGTTTCTTTCAAAAACATGACTCAATTCCCATCAGTCCTGTTTCTGCTACTTTCCTGCTTGTTTTTTTTTAAATTCATTTCTCTTGTTTTCTATAGATTTAATCTTCACTATTTCTAACTTATGCCACCATTTTCTCTCCTTCTCCTGTCTTGAATGTATCCAGATCCACCAATCTTTGAGTAGCTGTAGATGATCATTTGGGACTGGAAATTTTATCAGATAAGGCAACCTACTGACCAGGCACTAGAGAGGATGCACTCTCCAGTCAAAATCTGGGGGAAGAGGCCAAGATTCCAGCAGATTATGTTAGCAGTTCTACTACATAGTGTTTAACTTAATATATTTAGTACTGGTCTAATGTTCTCCTCCTAATCTGAGCAAGAGTTAGTCATCAATATTTGTCTTATAGTTCTGAGCTGTTACTGTTGAATCAAATTACATTTTCCCCCTTAACACCAGCTATGCTACTGAAATAAAGAAGAAACACTGCTTTCCTTCTCTCAGTAAAGCTTTCAGACTACCAACCTTATTTTTGACAGCTGCAGCCAACCTTCTTCCAGAGCACCTAAATGAAACTGAATTCTGTCAGCTTCATTCCCTAGACACAGCACTCAGTATCAGCAGGACAACTGACATCATTTTCAATTCCACCACTAGCTCGGGAAATAACAGAAAAGGCCCTGAAGAGATCCATCTGCAAACTTAATATTGGATTTTCACTTGATTTATATTTTAGAATAGAGACCAGAATTCTAACCCCACCCAAAACAGCCTGGACTGTCAAGAGCACTCATTAAGAAAAGTTTTCAAAGATATAGCCACAAGCATGCCTAGAGGGGCATGAGAAAAACGGGAGGCACGGAATACAGAAGTGTCACATGGAATCATCCTCTACTAGAACAGGAGCATTTCCAGTGTTATCTGTCCAAACAAATTCACACAGAGAAAAGTTTTGCCTCTCTACCTTGTCAGGTAGCAGGGAAGGAAATGTGAAGAAAATAACTAAAATTAAAACTAGACAAAATCAACACACCACAAATCACCACCTGGTCACAGCACAAACACAGGCAGAGGCAGAAGAACTAAAAAGCACCACCCTAAATATATTACTTTGTAAACATGCAAAACTATAATAAATGTATAAAGCACAGCTGAATAAATACCTTGTACATCTCTGCTTCGATTTGTTGATGAACACCAACATAACTCTTCTTCACTTGTTGCTTATCTTTGATCATCATTGTAAGCCTATGCAAAGGACCAGAATTAAGATCCTCTGCATGCGTCTTCATTATTTTGCTCAGTTGTTCTGTTTGCTGTACCATGAGCAACCAAGACTGGAAAACAAACACACACACACACACACACACACAAAAACAACCACAACAACAACAAAAGAGAGAGGGTACAGAACAACAGTTACTTATTCTGGCTTACAAATAACCAAATGATGAACAGAAAGAGTGAGGAAAATTCATCACTGTTTAAAAAAATATAATACATTTACCTGAATTCAACTGAGATCATCTAAGATAAAGTTTTACCTATTACACAGCAAAATCATCCCTTGAACTTATTCACAAAAATGTATCAGAAACAAAAATATAATATAGTATGGTGATATTTCTGCATTGTTCCTGTACAGCTGAACACCCTTGAAATCTGTATAAATTACATCTGTGTAGATTACGTTCTCAGTACCTTTAACAATAATATCCCTGTGCTCTTTGTTCCTTTTCCCAATCACGGCTTATTTACACTTTTGATAATAATATTCATTTGAATTTTTGTTGTTTAAAGGGATACCATTTGTCAGCTACTCTGACAACATAAGTCTTCAAGCCACCACTGGCAAAGCATAAGGAGCCAATAGGCTAAAAGACAAAAGCAGTAACTCAGCTGTCACAGTAACTGCGCTTTCTATACCTGGTTTTATTAACATCCTGGCCATTCTGTCAGTCACTTTTCAGGACAGCAAAATATATTCTGGCTTTGAACCTTGCCTGAGGAGTGAACTGCAGTGTGAACAGAGATTTCCAATGTACAACAGATATAGACCTGAAATTAAAGTTCGGATCAAATAAAAGTATCTGATACCCTGCAGAATCCTGTCACATTTGGTTGACAGGGAAATTATTGGATTCCTTAAGAGATAATCCACTATCAGACTGCCATACTATGTCTGGAAATTCAGAATGACTATTTGCAATACAATTTATCAGTTAGGGAAGGTAGCTAGTACACTGATTTTCATAATCTTGCCCTTACTCAAGATAGAAATCCACCTTAAATCATCAAACCTGAGAAATCCCATTTGTTTTGTAGGTTTGGGGTCTTTTTATATCTCATTTTAAACTTACATACATATTTCCATCACTACATTACTATGATAAAAGTTGGTTTAGATTTTACAGAATGAAGTAAAAGAGAGTTAATTCTTGCATACCTACGAAACTATCATTAACACTTCTTTTAGTTCATAAATGGTCCATGGATTGTCACAGAGCTATCTTAGATTGCTTGAAAAGTGACCTTCTGAAAGGTTATACCCTGAAGCTTCCTGGCTATTTCTGAAAAACATTTAATCTCTCCATTACAGAACACTTTCCAGACCACATCAGACCACATATTGCAAAGTCGTACATGAGAAAAACAATGTCAAACACCTCTGTTGCAGAAGCTGGTCTTGCGGTTGCAGATGGGTTCATGACAGAGCTCACAGAAGTGAGATTGTAAGAGTTCTCCATTTCACTTCAGACTGATTTATACTGGCAAGGTAAATATTGATTAAGTCAACCCTGAAAACCACACCAAAAGCATTCTTTGACAAAACAGATATTCTAATGAAATACTTAGTTTACAATTTACAAAGTGAAGCCAGATAATTCTTGTAGTTTGCAGGAAATCACCTTTACATTAAAAAAAAAAAAAAAAGAAAAAAAGAAAGAAAGAAAAGTGTGTTTACCATTTCTGGCATCTCCCTTTCTACACTTAAAAACATTGATTAAAAATGATTTCAGTGTTTTGTATGTACTTTCATTTTAAAATATCAAAAGTTAAAATGAAAAGCTATAAAATCTGGGAAAATGTTCAAAAAGTGAGATTTACACAGGGTATAGAAAAGCAGCTGGGTGGTGGCAGACTGAAGAAAAGGCAAAGAATTTCCTTTCACAGAAAAAAAAACAATATATCAAAAGCAATGGAATAAAATATTGTTTGTTTTCACTGTATTTTTTTAGACATACTAGTACAAAATAATGCTTATGGGAAGCACTTTAAATTCTGCTTTTCTGACATAACTGGTCACTGCCCTGTGCCTCACAGTAAGTTTACTGCTTATTCATTAAAAAAATACGACACATTTCCTCAAACACCATCTCTCTCAGTGTTCACTCTTGGAGTATACTTAAGAAAATAAATGCATTAAAGATTAAGGATACTCTCTTATATTTATTTTCTGGTCATATATAACACACTATATATATATATATATGTATATATATACACACACACACACACGTGCACTGTGTTTTAAATAACAGATGTAAGATTTATGCCCAAAATATCTGGTCATATTTTGGTTCTGTAAAATGCTATGCCAGAATAAGAGAAAAGGTATCATGAAATAGCAAAGTAAATTAGAATGACATGCACAATAAGTCAGATAATTTAACTGCCAAAATCAGTAAGATAACAATGAATTGCTACACATGTTTAACGATAAAATTTCAGGGCCAGCCATATAAAAGACTTGCCAGTAGCATCTGAATACTTTTGCTGTTATGTAAAGATGTACATAGCTCAGAGGTGGGGTTTGAGAGAAAAATGTCACCACCTTAAAATGAAATTAGCAAAGGAGCAAAGCAACTCCTGAAATAATAGCTTTGCCCAGACAAAACCCATGTCCAAAACAAGATTTTAAGACGTGACATGGATACCCCTCTGCAGCCTGAGAAGAAAAAGGCTGAAGGCACATCCTCATGTTTCTTCATTTGCTCGCACAACACAGATGACCACAACACTAACATAAACTGTGTTAGACCAGTTTGGCTGCTTCAAAGGTAAGGGCTGCAATGTAGATACTCTCATGTTTATTTTCCTTAATTGTTCTAGCTCTTACCCATATTCAGTTACACTGCCTAAAAGAACTGCAGGACACCTAGTATAAAAGAGCAATTCTATGGGTACAGCACTGGCAAGAATTATTAACTATATCATCAATAAATCTATTCTAAACTTTGGGATCTAAAAGTATAGCAGATGCGCTGTAGAAAGCTTTAAAATATTTTGAGTTTTGCCATTCCTACACTAATGAAAATGTTTGCATCTCAGTTTACCAAAATTGTAACAACTTAGCTAACAAGACCTATACCAAATTCTTTAAGAGAAACGTAACTGGTTGAAATTCCAAATACACCATCGAACCACAGAAAGCAGTGAAGAAAAACAGTGTGTCCAGTCAAAAGGGAAGAATTACTGGTGGCAGGGCTAAACACTGCATGGTGCAATGTCTGGGGCACAGGAAACGGGTTAGCTGTTATAACGCAGCTTTCAGTTCATACGCACTGCCACTTCAACCCAGTGTAGAGCTAGACAGCTGCTAAAGGCCCAGATGTGTTCCTGCTCCTAATCTATGGCTGGCACTCAAGCAGCAACTCCATAAGCCCAAGATGTGTGAGGGGAAAAAAAAAAAAAAACAACTGCTCTATCTAAAAGTTAACCTTACCAAAAAAGTGTGTTGTCCTGCAAAGTAGGAGGTCAGGAATAATGTCAGATTGAAGCGGTTTATAACCACTGCTACAGCAAGAGCGACATGAATTGAGTGATACATTAGAACTGAATTGTTTTCTTTAGTCAGCAGGGAACCCGAGTCTGGAGAGAAACTAACCAACAAGTCAAACAGGGAAGCTTTCTTCATCATTACCTTTGGTATAGTTTGGATGTAAATGTAATGATTAATAACTTGGGGGAAGAACAGCCTTACCTTCTTAACCAGTGATTTTACACTGGATATAAAACTATGCTTAAACAATTTACAATTATGAGAAATACCCTGAATTAATGTTTTGTTTTCACAACACAGACTGTAGTGTGAATACGAGTCGGAATGCTAAGCTCTGTCCTGGTTTCCTGGAAACTTTCTATTTCTGTTAAAAATTGTATATAACATAAACAATAGTTCTTTCTTGACTGTTTAAAAAAAAAAAAAAGAAAACACAGCTGGCTCAACCAAGAAACCTAAAATACCGAAGTTGGGAATTTTTGATATTTTATTACTCTGAAAGTTAGAACGGACCCTGACTTCTGCATATTTCCCTGAGGGACTAAATAAAAGGAGCTCATCTTAAGTATTGTCAACAGTAAGTTTCAAGAAGCTGAACCAACAGGAATCTAACACACAAACTATTTTGAACTGGGCTAGTTACCATTTCCCTTTAAATAAAGTAGACAAGAAATTTTTCTCTCCTGGATGCTTTGCCACATGATTATGTGTTGTATTTTATGACACATTTCAGTAGCTCATTTTAAAATATAAAAGTAACTGTACTTTGCTATTTACTAAAAAAACAAATAGTATTGATTTCTAAGGATATTCCAAATTGAGAGTATTTTCTTCTTACCTTGGACACATTGCTGATATAATCCAGTTGGCAAGTACTCTCTTTATCTACTTGATTACAAAGATTCTGTAAAGTGGAGGCATACTCTTTATCGCTTTTTACTCGCATGGCCATAAATTTCTTCACTGTTTCGAGCAGGCGTAGTTCCCAATCTTGCAGTTTTAATAAAGCATCATGAGAATACTTCAGGTCACTTCCAAACCCCATTTTTTAAGGCACTATATACTGTGCAGGTGACAAGATGGCCACTTTACCACATCTGAAAGTAGAGCAAGATTCATGAGAAACATTTAGAAAGGAAAATCTGATGTGTTGCAAAGAACACCTATGAATGTCTAAGCTCTGTAAGTAACACAACCATCAGATTGAGCAAACCTGCACATATACCCTCTGTGCCCAAATTGAAAGGAAGGTCAGCACGTTGGCTAGAACAGCAGTCTAGGACTTACTAAGGTATTAGTCCTACATGCTGCTTTGGATTGACAGCTTAATCTCAGTTTGTATCCTTAGCTGCCTATCTGTAGTGTAGCATTGTAACAGTATCTTCCTAACTCTATGAAGTAGAGTTATGAGGGAAGACATGGAAGCCCATAGAACAAATGTGACCAAACCATTTATTTAATCAAAACAAAAAAATACAGGTAACAGCATCTCCAGACAAGAACCCCAGCTGCTTTGCTTCACTCCCAGTGACCCCAAATATTAGATTCCTGTGTTTATTGCTCTTGTAAGCCATCAGCTATAAGACACTCAGGGTCTGCCTGGGAAATCAATAACTGCAGTAAGACTAGTTGATTCCTTACTACTAAAACTACACTGAATATGAGAAAAGAACTCAAATTAGATTCCCCAATCGATCTTATGTTATTGTCCGCTCAGATCATGACTGAGTTCTTAATTTCATACTATTTTCACCCAAGGCAGCCTAGTCTCATTGCACAAAATGGATGTTTGATGACCAGATAAATACAGAATAAATATTGAAACCTTATGAAATACAATAGCACAAGGTCAAAGACACATATATGAGCTTGCCTTAAAACACCTGCCTCATTCCAATAAACCTGTAACCACACCACAAAACAGGTCAGCCCACACACGAGTAATTTCTACAGACTTGCATAGCTTTTGTACTGTGGCCTAACACCCATTTTCTACGTATTCATCAAAAACCTGTTCCTATACTAATCATCTTCAAATTATGTGGCATAAACTTCTATGAGCCTAGACCACAGCACAGACCTGCCCCATGCTTGTTCACCATCCCCATGCTCCAGCCAAGCCTGAGTTGTGTTGAACACATAAGGACCAATTTCCTCATAGGCATTTAGCTGGTGCTTCAGTTAGGAAGACAAATCTATTAGTGTTTGTAAGGCACTCACCTAACAGCTCATTACATGAAGCAAGACTAATACTAATATTATACAGAGAACCAAGAGGCACAAATTAACGTCAGCACTGTACCACTAATACTGGATGCCTAATTTGCAAGGCTTAAAGACTGACTTTTTAGAGTGCCTAGCACTTTTAGCATATTAAACATTTAGGCCAAAGATGGAACTGGCTTCAGTTACCACCAAAATTTCTGCAAATCAGAACCTACAAGTTGATTATGAAAAACAAAATTGATTATCAGAAAATGAAAAACAGTCATGACACAGGCAAGCCTTCCTGCATAAGGTCTTCCCAATATGACAGAACCACAGAATGGTTGAGATTGGAAGGGACCTCTAGAGATCATCTAGTCCAACCCTCCCTGCTCCAGCAGGGACACCCAGAGCACGGGGCACAGGGTGACATCCAGGCAGGTTTGAAGATCTCCAGAGGAGACTCCACAGCCTCTCTGGGCAGCCTGTTCCAAGACTCTGTCACCCTAACAGGAAAGAAGTTCTTCCTCACATGGAGGTGGAACTTCCTGTGTTTCAGCTTACACCCACTACCCCTTGTCCTGTCACCGGCCACCACAGAGAAGAGCCTGGCCCCGTCCTCCCTACAGTCACCTCTCAGGTACTTGAACATGTTGATCAGATCTCCTCTCAGTCTTCTCTTCTCCAGGATAAACAGGCCCAGCTCGCTTAGTCTTTCCTCCCACGATAAATGCTCCAGTCCCTTAATCATCTTGGTCGCTGCACTGGACCCTCTCTAGAAGCTCCACATCCCTCTTGTCCTAGGGAGCCCAGAACTGCCCCCAATACTCCAGGTGCGGCCTCACCAGAGCTGAGCAGAGGGGCAGGATCCCCTCCCTCCACCTGCTGGCAACGCTCCTCCTGATGCAGGCCAGGATCCCATTGGCCTTCTTGGCCATGAGGGCACATTGCTGACTCATGGTTAACTTCTTCTCAACCAGGACTCCCAAATCCCTCTCCACGCAGTTGCTTTCCAGCAGGTCAACCCCTGATCTGTCCTGGTGCCTGGGGTTATTCCTGTCCAGGTGCAGGACCCTGCACTTGTCCTTGTTGAATCTCTTGAGGTTCCTCTCTGCCCAGCTCTCCAACCTGTCCAGGTCTCTCTGAATGGCAGCGCAGCCCTCAGGAGTGTCGGCCACTCCTCCTAGTTTGGTGTCATCTGCAAACTTGCTGAGGGTGCCCTCTGTGCCATCGTCCAGATCATTGATGAACAAGTTGAAGAGCACCAGGTCCAGTACTGACCCCTGGGGGACACCACTGGCCACAGGCCTCCAACGAGACTCGACCCCATTTATCACCACCCTCTTGCAGTCAATCCTCAATCCACTTCACTATCCACTCAACCAGTCCACGCTTCTGGATCTTTCCTATGGGAATGTTACAGGAGACTGTGTCAAAAGCCTCGCTGAAGTCAAGGTAGACAACATCCATGGCTCTCCCATCGTCTATCCAGTCGGTCTCCTCATCATAGAAGGCTATCAGGTTCATCAGACACAACTTCCCCTTGGTGAATCCGTGCTGACTACTCATGACCACCTTCTTTTCCTTGACATAGCTAGAGATGGTCTCCAGGATGAGCTGCTCCATCACCTTTCCAGGGATGGTGGTGAGGTTGACCAGCCTGTAGCTTCCTGGCTCCTCCCCCTTGCCTTTTTGAAGACTGGAGTGACACTGGTTTCTTCCAGTCCTCAGGCACCTCCCCCGCTCTCCAAGGCAAGTTTCAGCTAGTTTAATCTTTATTTTGAAATAAGACGTAATAAAAATATAAATGTACTGGACATGTAAACCAGACATCAATATTGGGTTAACAGCCAGAATACATCCCACAGCCAATTATAAGAAAGTAGGACATACATTTTTTTTTGAATCACTTCCAAAATAACCTAATTATGTGAAAAGTACTACATGACCAATATATATTTAATAATATACTGTGAAAAAGTCACAATTCCTTGAACAGTTCAGAATTTAAATTACCAAATACGGTCTCTAAGTGATCTCAATCATTATCACCAGGAGTAAGACTCAAAACTACGCAGTGTTCAGTTTTGTCAGTATGGCACTGTGGCATATGTACCTTCAGTGACAGTCACTTCATCACTGAAACAAACAGAATCAATATTGCACTATTGGCCATCTTCCTGGAGTCCAGCAACAACTCTGAAGAAAGCACTTCTCACATCTACACCCAATTTAAGGACTGAGGTTTTTACACTGATTATATTTCGCTAAAACAAGAAATCATTCTTAGCCCTCCTTCTATAAGAATTCTCTCTCCTTCTATAAGAATTCAAATAAGAATTAGAACATTAAATGATTGAAATACGAATGATTTAAAATATGAAACCTAAATGATCCACTCCTGGAACATACAAGAAAGGCCATGAAACATAAAATATACATTACTTACCATTTTTTTCAAATAATCATTTATTCCAATTATTGTCTATATAAGCATTTGACACTAATCATATGAAAAGCCAGCCTTCACTTACTTAATGCTTCCATAAAGATATTGCCATAAATAAACATGCGAAGTGAAAATCTAAAGGTGTCCTGATCACTTCAAAACGTGTCTGAAATATTAGTTTACCTAAGGGAAAATAAGCAGCTTATTTTCAGGAAAGCTTTCCTGCAAAACACAGCTCACATACCTTAAAAGCTTTTCTCTAAAAAATGATCCTTAGTAGATTTTTCTTTACACCCGAAGGTGCTTCTTCTGACTTTCACTTTCCAATATATACTTTTATTTTTGAGGAAATCTATGAGAGAAAAACAGATGAAATACGATTTTTACTTGTATAAGTAGAAGTTGTACAGCAAAAGGATCATATTTTTACTTACATTTTGCAATCACACTGATAAAAGAAATACATTTTGCATTTTCAGATTACCAGAAGATAAAACAAAACAAAACATTGTAAATAAATAGAAAAAGTAAAGATTTGCCAAATGATTACAAGCAATATTATGTTATCACTTTAAACACACAATTTAGAGGCAAGAATTAATTTTGTCTATCCAAAACCTCTATATGGAGCTCAAGATAATCGTTTCTTAAAATTCTTTGTTTCTTAAGGTTCTTAAACCTGGAAAACCTGGAAAATTAGATAAATTAATTTGTTTGTGAAAGTAGGAACTTTGCCAATGATGAAATGAAAAAAGTCAGTTAATAAGGAAAGAAGAAGCAGAGGAGACCAAAAGATATCACAAGGAAAGGGCAATCTCGATAACAGTATTTTCAAAAGACAATAAGGAAACAAGTAAGCTGGGAAAGTGACCAAGACACTGAAATTTCTTTACTAATCCTCTGCTTACTCCAGTACTTTGAATAGTAAGAGGTCAGATAGTTAAAAACACTGAGGCACTTTAAACTCAAACTGCAACTCTGGAATGCAAATTTTGTGAAGCAAACTATTAAATGAACCTGAAACTTTATTTATATATATATATAGTTATAAAAGTTTTGCATACTGCTTGTAGCTACCAGCTAATCTGCATAAATCACACCTGTGTTCACAAACAATCTTGTTCCAGTTTAAATCTTTAGCTGAGGCATCATATAGTTGTTTAGTCGTGCCTTTTAAGAAATTAAGCACATTAAACTAAAGAGAGACTCAGTGCGAGTAAAGAAAACAACTATTTTGCAGAATTCCATTATTTAAAACAAAGCATTAAGGGTTAGTTTTAGTTTACATTCAATGATTACTTAGTATTCCTTTCTGGTTACTTAGTGACATGCTAGAAACTAAGCGCTGCCTAATAAAAATACAAAACCTCTACTTCTCCATTACCAAAAAAAGCAAAGAAAAAGTAATGATTACATTCAGTTATTGCAAGGCAACAGCAGGAC